CATGTGCTGGCTGATCAAATGAATTTGGATGTGTACAGGGGGTGCTTTTAAGATTTTTTTTTATTATTTTTACTGATTTTGTATAATTTTTGATTACACTTTCTTATATAATTTTTTTTCTTTAATTATTTGTATTACTCCAATGGGTGTAATACTTCACATGTGCGATGCAATTTATGTTTAGATGCACATGCTCGTCTTATGCTGCGTGTTTGAATTGGGGTGTGTACAGGGATGCTCTGAAATTTTTTTAAAATTATTTTTTATATATTTTATATAATTTTTTACACTTTCTTAAATTATTTTTTTTTTGTTAAGTACTTGTATTACACCAATGGGTGCAATACTTCACAGGCATGGTATAATTTATGTTTATATGCACGTGCTCACCCTATGCTGCTCGACTTAATTGGGGTGTGTATGGGGGTGCTTTGAAAATGTTTTTATTTATTTTATATAATTTTTTCACACTTTTTTAATATATTTTTTTAAATTACAAGGCCCCATATGTGATAGCATGGGCATGTGTCTATTAAACCCCAGATGTTTCCCCTGCAATTATACTGCAGCTAACCAAGAACAGATTGTTAGTGTTGCACTACTGTGTACTTTTAAAGGGTACACCATGCCCGCACCTGAATTGCACCGGAATAGGCTTTGTGATTCACGTGCGGTTCTGTGCAGTGCGATTTCAGCCCATTCAAAATACACCAAAAACAGTGCATGAATTGTAACTGGATCGCATGGTACAAAAGTGCGCGATTCTGAATTTGGGGTGTCGTTAACCTTTTACTAACACCCGCAGCAGATCAGAAATGTAGAGCGTTTTGCATGCGGTTTGAATCACACAGGAACGCACAGCACGTTCCTGTGTCATTCAGATGTAGGCATGGGGTGAACGGGCCCTGAATGCCAAAGGACAACATGCAGCTGCAAATTGGGCACTAGGGAAAAAACTGACCAAATCTAGTGCTAAGTCCACTTCTAAATATTAACATGAGTTAGGGGCCAGGGCCTAATAATGTTTTCTTGCACAATTCCAGAAATCTCATGAAAGATTTACACATTTTTTCCAATTACACCCAATAATAAAATGTATGAATCTTGTGTGAAAGCAAATATAGACAGACCTCAAGGACTACATTGGGGATCTTGTTTGGGCAGGTTTTGCCCTCTTTTTGTCCATTGCTAGAGCTTCTGCTCTTTTACCATCGGAATACGGCTAAGCTTTGGTTTTCATCACTGAATTGTGATGATTGGTTACTGCAGCCTTGCACAATTGGAACAAATTTTGGTTTGGCTTTCTACTGTTTATCTGACCAGAGGTACTCTTGGACTGATGGTTCCCTAATAGGATCAGAGGTACTCTTGGACTGATGGTTCCCTAATAAGACCAGAGGTACTCTTGGACTGATGGTTCCCTAATAAGACCAGAGTACTCTTGGACTGATGGTTCCCTAATAAGACCAGAGGTACTCTTGGACTGATGGTTCCCTAATAAGACCAGAGGTACTCTTGGACCTTTGGTTCCCTAATAAGACCAGAGGTACTCTTGGACTGATGGTTCCCTAATAAGACCAGAGGTACTCTTGGACTGATGGTTCCCTAATAAGACCAGAGGTACTCTTGGACTGATGGTTCCCTAATAAGACCAGAGGTACTCTTGGACTGATGGTTCCCTAATAAGACCAGAGGTACTCTTGGACCTTTGGTTCCCTAATAAGACCAGAGGTACTCTTGGACTGATGGTTCCCTAATAAGACCAGAGGCACTCTTGGACTGATGGTTCCCTAATAAGACCAGAAGTACTCTTGGACTGATGGTTCCCTAATAGGATCAGAGGTACGCTTGGACTGATGGTTCCCTAATAAGACCAGAGGTACTCTTGGACTGATGGTTCCCTAATAAGACCAGAGGTACTCTTGGACTGATGGGTTCCCTAATAAGACCAGAGGTACTCTTGGACTGATGATGGTTCCCTAATAAGACCAGAGGTACTCTTGGACTGATGGTTCCCTAATAAGACCAGAGGTACTCTTGGACCTTTGGTTCCCTAATAAGACCAGAGGTACTCTTGGACTGATGGTTCCCTAATAAGACCAGAGGCACTCTTGGACTGATGGTTCCCTAATAAGACCAGAAGTACTCTTGGACTGATGGTTCCCTAATAGGATCAGAGGTACGCTTGGACTGATGGTTCCCTAATAGGATCAGAGGTACGCTTGGACTGATGGTTCCCTAATAGGATCAGAGGTACTCTTGGACTGATGGTTCCCTAATAGTACCAGAGGTACTCTTGTGATAATGAGAGAAGGAGAAGAAGCGCCTCTAAGTGCATTATAACACTTTATTGTAGATCAAAAGTGGGAACACTCACATTTAAGTGGTAGATTACAGGCATGTAATAGTATTGTGTGGGCGTGATGACATCAGTGGACCAGGATGCACTGTGGCGCGTTTCGGAGCATGCGCTGGCCTGAAGTGGCAGAAGCGCGCTTCTGCCACTTCAGGCCAGCACATGCTCCAAAACGCATTGCATCCTGGTCCACTGACATCATCACACCCACGCCGACGTTGCTCTCCAGCGTGCGTTCCATCCGGCATTGAGGTGTACATGCACGCCGGCCGGCTCCATAGCTGTCTCCCTCCAGCCACCACGCTTCTCCAGCGGGACGCGAACTCAGTGTAACCGATGACATCCGTTCCTATCTGGTGGTACACCGCAATACTATTACATGCCTGTGTAATCTACCACTTAAAATGTGAATGTTCCCACTTTTGATCTACAATAAAGTGTTATGCTGCACTTAGAGGTGCTTCTTCTACTTCTCTCATTATCACAGAGTCTGCTACAGTATTGTTGGAGCTTGCCCTTAGTACCATACAGACCCCCCATTTAAAAACACCCCAACCATCTTTACCCACTACCAGACTGTTCCGGACTTGGTGCCATTTTGTGCACTGATCATCATTTCTTCCAGAGGTACTCTTGGACTGATGGTTCCCTAAAAAGACCAGAGGTACTCTTGGACTGATGGTTCCCTAATAGGACCAGAGGTACTCTTTGGACTGATGGTTCCCCTAATAGGACCAGAAGTACTCTTGGACTGATGGTTCCCTATTAGGACCAGAGGTACTCTTGAACTGATGGTTCCCTAATAGGACCAGAGGTACTCTTGGACTGATGGTTCCCTATTAGGACCAGAGGTACTCTTGGACTGATGGTTCCCTAATAGGATCAGAGGTACTCTTGGACTGATGGTTCCCTAATAGGACCAGAGGGACTCTTGGACTGATGGTTCCCTAATAGGACCAGAGGTACTCTTGGACTGATGGTTCCCTAATAGGACCAGAGGGACTCTTGGACTGATGGTTCCCTAATAGGACCAGAGGTACTCTTGGACTGATGGTTCCCTAATAGGACCAGAGGGACTCTTGGACTGATGGTTCCCTAATAGGACCAGAGGTACTCTTGGACTGATGGTTCCCTAATAGGACCAGAGGGACTCTTGGACTGATGGTTCCCTAATAGGACCAGAGGGACTCTTGGACTGATGGTTCCCTAATAGGACCAGAGGTACTCTTGGACTGATGGTTCCCTAATAGGACCAGAGGTACTCTTGGACTGATGGTTCCCTAATAGGACCAGAGGTACTCTTGGACTGATGGTTCCCTATTAGGACCAGAGGTACTCTTGAACTGATGGTTCCCTAATAGGACCAGAGGTACTCTTGGACTGATGGTTCCCTATTAGGACCAGAGGTACTCTTGGACTGATGGTTCCCTAATAGGATCAGAGGTACTCTCGGACTGATGGTTCCCTATTAGGACCAGAGGAACTCTCGGACTGATGGTTCCCTAATAGGACCAGAGGTACTCTTGGACTGATGGTTCCCTAATAGGACCAGAGGGACTCTTGGACTGATAGTTCCCTAATAGGACCAGAGGTACTCTTGGACTGATGGTTCCCTAATAGGACCAGAGGGACTCTTGGACTGATGGTTCCCTAATAGGACCAGAGGTACTCTTGGACTGATGGTTTTCCTAATAAGACCAGAGGTACTCTTGGACTGATGGTTCCCTAATAGGACCAGAGGTACTCTTGGACTGATGGTTCCCTAATAGGACCAGAGGTACTCTTGGACTGATGGTTCCCTAATAGGACCAGAGGTACTCTTGGACTGATGGTTTCCTCCCCGATGTGCGCTGAATAAGGATTTTTTGTATTTTCTACCAATATTGATCTTCATCTACATCAGGTGTTACTATTGTACAGAGCATCATCATCGGCACTTTTATTTTGTTTTCCAAAATTCCCTGTGGACGTGTGTCTTATCCCGAGAAATGCGTCAGTTTCTGGATCAACTATCCATTTTTCTAATTCAACTTTATGGAAATACATTTGCCTAATGATGATCTACTTATCTAATGTTATCGTTGAGGCTCTTAGACTCTTGCTTGTGATGCTTTTGCGTCCCGAGCAAGAGCCTTTCCCCCCTTTTTGTTACTTAAAGATTTATATTTTGTTTTTGCTGCTTTTACTATGCATGTGTTTATTTTGGCTCACCAAACGGTCTCTCTTACCACTTATGTGTTTTTTTTTATAAAATTACAATAAAATGTGTTCTATTTTATCTAGTGTCTTCATGTTGTGCATCTTTATATTTTCATATGATATAGTGCCTCTAAAAGCCCCATTAGTTTCTTTCTGTTAGGGTTTTTGCATTTCTGTGATCAAATAGGGGTGTGGCACCTATAAAACCAATATACAAGGACAGGTGAGATTGAATGCTTCTTCAGCTCCCGCCCTGTTTTTTATTGAACAATAGATAGACCTCAATGTGTGTATTCATAGAAAATATATCATAGTTTTCTTTAACCGCCTCCCGCCCACCATATAAGGTAATGACGGGCGCAAGGCGGTTCTCTCGCTCTGGGAGGCCGTCATATGACGTTCTCCCATTCTAACCGCGCATGCGCGGCGTGTCCCTCAGACACAGCAGATCACCAATCACAGCTGATCGCATATAAATAGGGAAATGCCAGTTATCGGCATTTCTCTTCTCACGAGCTGTCACACTGACAGCTCGAGAGGAGAGGAGAGCTGGTAATCGGCATTCCTTCAGAGGGGACATGTGCACTGATCATCAGGGCAATGATGATCAGTGTCCCCTGATGATCTGTGTAGCCCCAGCAGTGCCACCTGTCAGAGTCCATCAGTGCCAGTTGTCAGCGCTCATCAATGTCACCTGCCAGTGCCCATCAGTGCTACATCAATGCCACATATCAGTGCCTACCAGTGCACATCAATGCCACATATCAGTGCCCATCTAAGCTGCCTTTCAGTGTCACCTATCAGTGCCAGCAGTCAGTGTCACCTATCAATGCCAGTCAATGCTACCTTTCAGTGCCGCCTATCAGTGCCAGTCAGTGCCACCTATCAGTACCAGTCAGTGCCGCCTATCAGTGCCATATATGAGTGCTGCCTTTCAGTGCCCATCAGTGATGCCTGTCAATGCCCATCAGTGTCACCTACCAGTGCCTCCTCATCAGTGCCCATCAGTGCCTCCTCATCAGTGCCCATCAGTGCCACCTATCATGTCCACCAGTGCAACCTATCAGTGCCCATCACTGCAGCGTTATTATTGCACATCAGTGAATGAATAAAATCACTTATTTACAAATTTTATAACAAAAACTAAGAAAAAACTTTTTTTTTTCAAAAATTTCAGTGGCTTTTGGTTTGTTTAGCAAAAAATAAAAAACCGGAGGTGATTAAATACCACCAAAATAAAGCTCTACCTGTCACAAAAAAATTATAAAAATTTCATATGGGTACAGTGTTGCAGGACCACGCAATTGTCATTTAAAGTGTGACAGCACTGAAAGCTGAAAATTGGCCTGAGCAGGAAGGGGGTATAAGTGCCCGGTAGGCAAGGGGTTAAAGGAAAACATTTCAGTAAACATATATTTTGATTCATTATCATAGTGTTGTACTGACATTTTATTTGATTTTCACATTTTACGTGTTTGATCCCCATTGTATTACATGTAGAGATCTGTAGATTACCTATCAGAAGCAAAGAAGATTAGAACAATACAATGGGGTTTATTTACTAAGGCTGGAGAGTGAAAAATCCGGCTCACTTCTGCAGAGAAACCAATCAGCTTCTAACATCAACTCGTTCAATGAAGCTTTGACAATAAAACCTGGAAGCTGATTGGTTTCTGTGCAGAAGTAAGCATGATTTTTCACTCTCTGGCTTCAGTAAATAGACCCCAATGACTCTATCCAACTGTTTAAAGTGGATCTAAAGCCTATGATGACGTTAACTGATGGCGAAACGCGTCAGTAAGGGACATCGGATGCAAACCGGAAGTACGACGGCAGTCATTTCAGAGAAGGTCTTTTGTGTCCGTTGTTCATGTAGGCATAATTTTAAAGTGATTCTAAAGGCTTAAATTAAAAAAAAAAAAACATGTCCAGCCTAGATCCTCCTCTTCTCAGGTCCCCCCTCTGGCACTCCTGGTCCCTCCCTCCTGTTGGGTGCCCCCACAGCAAGTAGCTTGTTATGGGGGCACCTGAACATGCGCACTCCCCAGCCGCTGCTCCATGTGCCCATTCACACACGGAGCTGCGGCTCGGCTCAGCATTCTCTCTCTTTTCATTGGCTGTGATTGACAGCAGTGGAAGCCAATGGCTCCCACTACTGTCTCAGTCAATGAGGAGAAGGAGTCCCAGGATAGCCGAGACTCCAGTGCACATCGCTGGATTGAGAGGGGGCTTAAGTGAGTATTAGGGGGGGCTGGAGGTGCTGCTGCACAGAGAAGGTTTTTAAGAAAAAAAAAGAAAAACCTTGAGCCTTCACAATCACTTTAAGTCCATATTGTGCTTTTTTATATATACTGCTGCACTATGGCTCCTCTGTTCTCATTCCATGTTCCGGAATTGAGGGAAGAGGTAGAATATACAGAAGGGGTTGGGAGACATCAAGCATTATAAGCTATTTGAGATGTGTTTTAACAAGTCTGGTAAGGTGCATGATCTGAGGGGTGAGGTGCGGAGCACAGATGGGGGCTGGAATATACACATATGGTGAAAAAATCACTTTATTTATGTGAGATTCATTCTGTTGGGGAGTATTTATGATTTAAAGGCATATTATACTATATTAGCTTTTTTTTCTTTTTGGGAATTTATATTTTGGAAGAAGAGGATATTTTGATGAATCATGGAGGAGACACATATGTTCAGTATAACGTTTGATTGAGGGTAAGAGTAAATATTAAGGAAGGTGGATGGTATTGTGATCACACGGCGAAGAGTTTTTGGCACGTTCTGTCACTTGGAAAGTGAGCAAAATAATGTATTATAAATTCATATAAATTTTGGAATACACTACCCTATATGCAATATTTTTGATTTTTATGCCACTCGGGAGTATGTGCAGCGGATGGAACGGAAGTAAAGAGAGGAGGATTTGCTAATATACAACGCTTTATTGCATCAAGTGTTGTCTGGTGAGAACATAAGAAGGCTGCTATCATTTGCATAAGGACTTTTAAAGATCTGGGGAGAGTTTATAGTGCTCTGGTTATATTATATTACAGTATATACATAGAAATAAAGTTTTTAAAATTTTACTTCATTGATCAGATTATTTACTTCGAGTTTCTCTTGTTTTATAAAAAAAAAAAAAAAATAAAAATAAAAAATAGAAAAAAGGATAATACAAAAAATAAAAAATAGAGAAAAGTGCAATATTATTAAAAATAAAAAATAGTATACACAATTTAATTACACAGTACACAGTTTATACAGAAAAAAAAAGGTTTTCAAAATGTTACTACATTGGTCAGGTTACTAACATCTAGTTGCTATTGTTTATAAAAAAAAAAAAATTCTAATAAAGAAAACATTTATATATATATATATATATATATATATATATATATATATATATATAAAAAAGAGAAAAAAAATTATATATATATATATGTATATAATTTTTTTTTTTCTTTAGTATATTTATATTTTATATTTAATATATATATTAAAAATATATTAAAAATAAAAAAATATATATTTTTATAATTTATTTTTATTTTTTCCTATATACTTTTTTTATAATATCATAAAAAAATAATTGTAATAAAGAAAAAAATATATATATATATATATATATATATATATATATATATATATATATAATTTTTTCTTTAGTATAATTTCTTTTATATATATATATATATATATATATATATATATATATATACATATAAGAAATTATACTAAAGAAAAAAAAATATATATATATATATATATATATATATAATAATTTTTTTCTTTATTATAATTATTTTTTTAATGATATTATAAAAAGTATATAGGAAAAAAAAATATATATATATTTTTATATTTTTAATATATTTTTATTTATATATATTAAATATAAAAAAATATATAAAAATATATATATATATATATATACTAAAGGAAAAAAAAATATATATAATTTTTTTTCTCTTTATTTTATATATATATATATATATATATATATATATATATATATAAAAGAAATTATACTAAAGAAAAAAAAAATTATTACAATTTTTATTATTTTTTTTATTTTTTCCTATATACCGGTACTTTTTATAATATCATAAAAAAAATTATTATAATAAAGAAAAAAATTATATATATATATATATATATATATATATTTTTTTTTGTTTGTTTTTTTTTTTTTCTTTATTATAATAATTTTTTTTATGATATTATAAACGGTATATAGGAAAAAATAAAAAAAATAATAAAAATAGTAATGTGAAATAAAATGAGTGTTTTGCTGTGCTTAACTGCAATGCACCACAATCACCCTAGCACACTACTACTGGTATGCTGGTAATGTGGTACTCTACCTTAAAAAAAAAGTTTACTTCTTTCTGCATAAGGATGCACTGCCAATTTTTTTTTTTAATGAATGGGGCCCCATAATGCATGATAATGTGGTCTTTTGGAAAAATAAGCAAGCACAGAATTAGAATGGCTCCATAGCTGTACGGATTCCTTGCATGGCCTCGTCGTTGGGCACAGAGCCGTGTGACCAGACCGGCGCTGTCATGTGACGCTTCTAATCAAAAGAATGTGTCTTGTGGAGCATTGCTTTCATCCAGCCAGGGGAAAAGCCAGACCTGTGACACCGTCAGCTTCTCCATACAAGCCACCAAACACACAGACCGAAAGATGTGACTGCTAATTTCAGATTTGTACCAGGAGTTGCCGAGACCGGAATTCATCTCATAAATAAGAAACGCTCTCTTCTGATCTTTGATACGTATATCAATGCATTGCCGTACTCAACACTGGCCCTGCTCATTTTAAAAGGGTTGCGAAAACAAAACATGGTAAAGATCTCAAAACACAATGATGGCAAGGCAAACTAAAATCTTTTTTACAGATTCTTTTATTATTACCTATACAAGCAAAGGAGATCGGCTTAAAGTAGATGGAAACCTCACATAAATGACATGTATGCATCATTTTTAATACATAGAAATAAAATATAATTTTCACCTTTTTCTTCAACCTTTGCAGTATCTCAGTGTTGCTGGTCTGCTGCAGACACTTTCTGCCTACATGCACCCTAGCGATGGCTGCATGACATTTCTCAAGGAGGGTTTCCTGATGGTGACAACAGTGGAAAATGGTATGTGCAGACTTGCGGAGGAATGAAAAAAACAACACTGGGTGAGTATGATGAAAAGGGGCTCTCTGGTATCCTCTATCTACAGTCATTCCTTCAACCATTTCACTGCCAGCATTGGTTTTTTTTTCCTACACATGTTTAATTGATCATTTTAGGACTGAAGATTACTTAAAACACCCAAAACATGATATGGAGAATAAAATGTTTGTAGTTCCAATTTTTTACGTCACTCGATATTAGCAGAACAGTTTATAAAATGCAACATTTCTGGAAAACATGCACTAAAGTTCATTTTACGGCACACAAAAACAATATATTAGCCAATTTTTGGGGGAAATATTAAAGACAAGGTTGTGCCGGGTAAATAGCTACCAAACATGTGAAGTCCTAAATTTGCATGCGCCTGTGACACTGCCAAGAAATTTCTGTGTCCAAAATGTTCCGATACTTTAAATGCCCCAACAGGTCATCCGTGTAGAATTAATGGAGAATTCCAGGCTTAACCTGACTAGTTTAACCCCTCGCCTACCGGGCACTTATACCCCCTTCCTGCCCAGGCCAATTTTCAGCTTACAGCGCTGTCGCACTTTGAATGAAAACTGCGCGGTCATGCAACACTGTACACATATGAAATTTTTATAATTTGTTGCACACAAATAGAGCTTTCTTTTGGTGATATTTACTCGCCACTGAGTGTTTTATTTTTTTGTGCTATAAACCAAAAAAGAGCAAAACATTTTGAAACAAAAAAGTTTTTCTTTGATTCTATTATAAAATTTTGTAAACAGGTCATTTTTCTCCTTCACTGATGTGCGTTGATGAGGCTGCACTGATAGGCAGTACTGATGGGCACTGATATGCGGCACTGATGAGGTGGCACAGATATGCGGCACTGATGGGCAGCACTGATGGGCACTGATAGGCAGCACTGTTGAGCTGCCACTGATGTTGGGCACTGACTGGTGGCACTGCTGGGCACTGATGGGGTAGCACTGACTGATGGTACTGAATGGCGGCAGTGATGGGCACTAGTGGGTGGCACTGGTGGGCACTAGTGGGTGGCACTGCTGGGCACAGGTGGGTAACACTGACTGGTGGCACTGACTGGCAGCACTTCTGGGCACTGATGGGTGACACTGCTGGGCACAGGTGGGTGGCACGGCTGGGCACTTGTGGGCGGCACTGCTGGACACTTGTGGGTGGCACTGGTGGGTGGCACTGCTGGGCACCGATCATCGATGATCGGTGCCAATCCCTCCTCTGACAACTGCTGGTTCTCGGCAGTACATTCCTCATGCTGTGACAGCGTGAGGACAGTGCAGCCGATAACCGGCAATTGCATTTCCCGGTGATCAGTGTGTCATTGGACATGGCTGATCACGTGGTAAAAGACTGCTGTGATTGGCCTTTTACCATAGCACGTGATCAGCTGTGTCCGTAGGACACAGTGATCACGGAGATCGCCGGGGGCAGGCAGGAGAGCTCGTTCTGGGAGGACGTCATATGACCTCCACCCAGAACTGGCCGGTCGCAGTGCAGCCATCATTCGGCTATCTGCGGTCTGCAAGAGGTTAAAAATGCTCCCTCCCCCCTCCTAACATCTATGCTGACTAACCCGTGTAAAAGAGATGCACATACTTACCTAGTTTCAGTAGCTCAGGTCCGGTCACGTAATATACTGTAGCAGCCAGTGGTGGCTGCAGGGGAGAGGAGGGAGGAGTGCTGACCATGGGTGGGCCATGAGAGCTTATGGGTGACATCACCACTCCTGGAATTCACAGCTGCTGCTGCTGCTGACTGACACTGGGGATCATGCAACCAAACCAGGGCAGGCTGAAAATAGGTAAAAATACAAATCTTTCTTACACAGGTTGATCAGAAGGGGGAGGGGATATTTTTAAGACTAGTTAGGTAAAGCCCGGAATTCTACTTTAACCATCAATAATGGGCCGAGAATTATTGCTCACTCCGGAATCCGAAATAACATATAACGCATGTGTTTATGTCCCGTTGCGTGTACATGCGGGTAGAGGCTCAAACCGACGACGCTTTATAACTACCTGGATTAAAATAAATAATACATACATTTTAAGTGCTTGGGTGAAACTAGCTCTCTTACCCATTTATTTAAAGCCCAACTCCAGGCAAAATAAAGTTTTCCCATGCAGTGAAGCTGTGCCCACAGTACGTGGGTTAACTGCCCATTTTGTCCAGGGGTGACCAGAAAGCTTATACTCACCCGATCCTCCTCTCCAGCGGCAGCACTACCCCACGATCCAGGGGTGAACTGTTCCTGATGTCCTCATGTCCAGAGCAGGTCTATGGGCCTGATGACGTTAGGAACAGTCCACTGCACAGAAGGCAGGAACAACAGGGACCGACGCTGGGAGGATCAGAGGATTAAGTAAGTACATCTCCCTTCTCATACCCCCTAGTCAAAAAAAAGCAGTTAACCCTTGCAGTGTGGGCACAGCCCCATTGCAAGGAAACATTTTTTTGCTCAGTGTTGGTTACTAACTAAACTTTGTTTTTCACCAGATAGGTAACCAGGAGTCCCTCTTTAATTTGCACCTGTTTTACCTGCCTTGAGTTCAGTTATCTTGTTCTTTGCACAGCAGTTCCCCAATAAAGGGACACCATTGTGGACTGGTGACTTGGATTCTTGATAGATGGTTTTGTTCTTTGCTGTGCAGAATTACAACATCTCCCATGACGGCGGGTGCGGAGAAAGAGATTCTTACAGCATGACAAAACCTTGTGCACAATAAACTGTCAGCCAGCAGAAGAGCTGTAAATCTAACCATCATTCATGACTATGAAACATTTTCAGTGATAGTCAAATAAATCAGATGTTTGCCATAAAGTTTCTTTCTGCATTCACCTACTGATCAGGGACCTTCTCTGGATACCATCAGGGACCTTTCAGTGCCTTATTACCAGGCTGAGATAGAAATATGCACTACACATTGCTCTGCAGATTGTTTCCATACTGTACACTCTGTGGATGCTTTATGTTTTCCTGCTGATCAAAGTTTGTCTAAAACCATATATTTGAAGTTCTGAATAGAGTAGGGAGGGAAAAGAAACCCAGAACTGTATTGAGGTCTGTGACCCATCTGGGGAGATTCTCTGTATTAGCCCTGGTGACGAATGTCATTGGGACTGGAATTTAGAGAAAATGCAATCATTTGATTTGTCACCCATATAGAATTTTTAGATTAGGGAACTTGTTCAGGTGAAAATTGCCATAAGAGGAAATGTTACCTTACTTTGGGGCAGCCATTTTCGACCATTCCCAACCAGGGTTCCTCCAGTGGTTGTTAGGGGTTTCTTGGGCTGTGGATGATTGACCTCCCATCCGATGGTGCCTGAAGAGCCAGTGGCATGACACCAGTGATTTCTTTAGCTATTTACAAGGATGACATTCTGATCACCACTCTGAAGGGTGCATTCTTCCTACTGATCACCAATGTAAGGGACATTCGGGTGCATTCTTCCTACTGATCACCAATGTAAGGAACATTCTAGTACCCACTGAACACCAATGTAAAGGGTGTTCTTCCCACTGATCACCAGTGTAAGGGCCATTCTTCCCACTGATCACCAATGTAAGGAACATTCTTCCCACTGATCACCAATGTAAGGAACATTCTTCCCACTGATCACCAATGTAAGGAACATTCTTTCCACTGATCACCAATGAAAGGAGCATTTTTCCCACTGACCACCAATGTAAAGGAACATTATTTCCACTGATTACTAATGTAAGGGACTTTCTACCCACTAATCACCAATGTAAGGAGCATTCTTCCCACTGATCATGAATGTAAAGAGCATTCTTCCCACTGACCTCCAATGTAAGGAGCATTTTCCCACTGACATCAAATGTAAGGAACATTATTCCCATTGACCACCAATGTAAAGGCCATTCTTCCCACTGATCACCAATGTAAGGGCCATTCTTCCCACTGATCACCAATGTAAGGGACATTCTACCCACTGATCATGAATGTAAGGAGCATTCTTCCCATTGACCACCAATGTAAGGAGCATTGTTCCCACTGACCTCCAATGTAAGGGACATTCTTCCCACTGATCACCAATGTAAGGGGCATTCTTCCCACTGATCACCAAAGTAAGGGGCATTCTTCCCACTGGCCACCAATGTAAGGAGCATTCTTCCCACTGACCACCAATGTAAGCAGCATTCTTCCCACTGATCACCAATGTAAGGAACATTCTTCCCACTGATCACCAATGTAAGGGGGGCATTCTTCCCACTGATCACCAATGTAAGGGACATTCTTCCCACTGACCACCAATGTAAGGAGCCTTCTTCCCACTGATCACCAATGTAAGAGACATTCTTCCCACTGACCTCCAATGTAAGGAGCATTCTTTCCACTTACAACCAATGTAAAGCTGACTATACATTGCTCATTTTTTTTTTTTATTCAGCCAGCCAGCTGAATGTTAAAAAACTGAGCTGATTTCCCTTTCCACACATATGTCCATCCTGTGGGGTTGCAGCTTTCCATATGGTTGATATCCCCGACCTCTATCAATAATGCAGACAGTTCACAGATTAACCACTCGCTTAAGCACAGAACTGCTATCTTTGTCAGTTGGCCCTTGGAGAAAAATCACCATTATATACCTGAAAACAAGCCGTTATTGATGTGAATACTGGCTAGAGATTCAGCAATACGAGCTGCAGGGAGGAGATGGTCAGTGCTCCAAACTTAAAGTGAGCCAGTCACCGTGAAAATGTATGAATTGGCATTACGATGTGACAGCAGGCATGTCTATACGGCTACGTCCCATCTGCTTGATAAAATCTGCCTCCAACGTGCATTGGAATCATGCACTATACAAACTAACAAATACTGTAAATTGGAGCGGAGACACAGCCATATTGCAGCCCACAAGACAATATGAATATGTGAATATGGTAGGATCACCTGGGTGGGGGGCTTCAGCTGCATTTTACATCAAAGTCAATATTTGCCCACTCCTGAACCTAAGGTGGTATCAGCCCACAGTAACACACTACAAGGCTAGATTCTGGTCTCTCTGCAGAGATTCAACACACCTTCCCCTGCGGAGTCAGAACTAGAGGTCTCCAGTCAGCAGGGAGCAAAGGCTTTGCTGATTGCAGAGAAGGGGTGTATCGGACTGCTGCAGAGAGACCACTGCTTCAACAGGGCAAGGGGACAGACTTTTCTACTTTTTAAAGAAAATGAACTGTAAAAGTTGGCACACATTTTTGGTGCACCTGGAATGTGTTTAGGTGTTTTAAACTGATAGTTCAATTGATGTGTACTGGCGGCTCTTTAGGCAGGCTTTAAGATCAGGAAACGAAGCTGCTTCCCAATCATTTGACCAATGTGAATGGCTCTCACAGAGGTCACACGATCGCGACCCCGTCCAACTGGATCCTGATTAGCAGTTATGACCCTGAGTTGTCCTTCCTGACAGCTGGTGGCGGCCCTTTAAGCAGGCTTTAAGTCTGGGAGATGGAGCAGCTTCCCAGTCATTTGACTGATGTGATTGGCTCTCACAGTAGTCACATGATCAGCAGCCATGACCGTGAGCTGCGCAAGCTCTCAGCACACAACCTCAGAGTGCCGTGGACACATATGTTTGGTGGTTGGGCATTAAGACCACATGTAGGTTAAAGTAAATGTATAGCCAAACTTCTTTTCAGTGTATAGAACAGGGGTCTACAGACTTTCTAAACAAAGGGCCAATTTACTGTCCTTCAGACTTTAGGGGGCCTGACTGTGGCCATTGGGAGTAGAAAAGGTCCCAGCATCAGTGGGAAAAAACAATTCCCCATTGTTGGTGTCGGTGAGAGGAACTGTGCCCCATCATTGGTGTCAGTGGTAGGAATTGTGTCCCATCATTAGTGTCAGTGAGAGGAATTGTGCCCCATCGTTGCTGTCAGTGGGAGGAGTTGTGCCCCATCACTGGTATCATTGGACTCCATTGTTGGTATCATTGGGAGAAATTGTGCCCCTTTGCTGGTGTCATTGGGGAGAATTTTGCCCCTTCATTGGTGTCAGTTGATGAAATAGTGCCCCAAGGGCCGGGTAAACGCAAGCAAAGTTTAGAGACCACTGCTATAAAGTAAGGAAAGGTTAATCACCTGCTAGGTGATTTCTGGCTGTCTGTGTACCATTGGGGAAATTTCCTCTTGCTCATGGACCATCTCACAGTTGCCCTTTGCTACTGGAACACATTAGAAGTTCTCAGATTTTACTTCCAGCATGAATCTGTTATTTTACTTTGCGCATATGGTGGAATTGTTGTTATCCTTATCAGAGTAAGATGAGCTTACAGAGCCATTTCATCCAGAAAAGGGTTAATTCACAGTGGAAACCCCCCCATCCATGTAGTTAGCATGCGATGTACCAGAGGATCAATACATCTGATCAATAGGCACCTCTTTGCATTGAAAGGCAAGTCACGGGTGAGGTCGGGAACTATAACGGTCCTGGGATTTTCTAGATGAACGAGTGTTTATCTACAGCTTTCCACCGAGACCCCTCTCCTACCTTCATGTTTAAAAGGATATGAGAGAAAAATTATCCTCTGACCCATAACAAGTATAGCGAGGAAGATTTCTGACTTTCGAACAACCAGGGAATTGGCAGCAATGACGATCTCCATATTGCTATTATGACAGGTGCACTTCATAGTGAGCCTAGGCTCTGTTTATACATGCCAAAAACAACAGCATACACAGGGCTATGGACTCACCATGTGACAGAGCTGGCTTAGCACTAGAATGAATCACAAGCTCCTCTGTACCCGAAAGTACCTGTTCTGGCCTTCATACTAGTTATGCCCTGCGTGCCAGGTCTGTATTCCATACCCAGAAGTGCCAGCTATTTCCTCTGTTCCTGGAAGTACCGGGTATGTCCTCCATACCAGGTACAGTATGTCCTTGGTACCAGATATGTCCTCCATACCCAGAAGTACCAGGTATACCCTATGCTTCAAACGCTGATTGGCTTAGCACTGGAGTGAATCACAATCCCCTGTGCACCTGGAAGTACCCATTATGTCCTTCATACTAGGTATATCCTCTGTACCTGGTCTGTCCTGCATACCCAGAAGTAGCAGCTATGTCTCCTGTACCTGGAAGTACCAGGTATTTCCTCTGTACCTGGAAGTACCAGGTATGTTCGCCATACCAGGTACAGTATGTCCTTTGTATAAGGTATGTGCTCCATACCCCGAAGTACCAGGTATACCCTCTGCTTTAAATGCTGATTGAATTAGCACTGGAGTGAACTACAATCCCCTCTGTACCTGGAGGTACCCGATATGTCGTTCATACTATGTATATCCTTTGTACCAGGTCTAACCTCCATACCAGGTACATCCCAATTGCTGGACGAAGTAGAAGTCAAGGAAAAGTGAGTAAAGCTGGCTGAGAGGGGGGGGGGGGGTGAAGGGTTAAAACATACCTGTTGCTTTGCTCTGATTGGACAAAGCACAGGCTGGTTTAGAGCTTACACATGGCTACATACTCCCTGTGTGACAGAGCTGAATTGCTTAGCATTGACAGGACTTACAAGCTACTGTGTACCCAGAGGTACCAGGTATGTCAGTACCCCCATACCAGGTATGTCCTTCGTACTCAGAAATACCAGGTATGTCCTTGGCTCCAAATGCTGAATGGAGCGGAAATGAAGAAAAGGTGAGAAATGCTGGCTGGGGAGGGGTGAAGGGTTAGAGCACACCTGTTGGACAAAGCACACGTTTGCTGGCCTCAGAGCTTACACAAGGCTACATACTCCCTGTGTGACAAAGATGACTGGCTTATCACTGGAGTCACAAGCTACTGTGTACCCAGATGTACCAAGTATGTCCTCCGTACTAGGTATGTCCTCCATACCCGGAAGTACCAGGTATGTCCTGGGCTCCAAACATTGAATGGAGTGAAAGTGAAGGAAAGGTGAGTAATGCTGGCTGAGGAAAGGTGAAGGGTGTGAATCACAAGCTCCTGTGTACCCAGACGTACCGGGTATGTCCTCTGTATGTCCTTCGTACTAGGTATGTCCAAAATACTCAGATATACCAGGTTTTTACTTTTTACTAGGCATGTCCAAAATACTCAGATGTTTCAGATATGTCCTTTGTACTAGGTATGTCCAAAATACTCAGATGTACCAGGTATGCCCTTCATACTAGGCATTTCCAAAATACTCGGATGTACCAGGTATGTCCTTCATACTAGGTATGTCCAAAATACTCGGATGTACCAGGTATGTCATACATACTAGGTATGTCCAAAATACTCGGGTGTACCAGGTATGTCCTTCATACTAGGTATGTCCAAAATACTCGGATGTACCAGGTATGTCCTTCATACTAGGTATGTCCAAAATACTCGGATGTACCAGGTATGTCATACATACTAGGTATGTCCAAAATACTCGGGTGTACCAGGTATGTCCTTCGTATCTAGGTATGTCCAAAATACTCGAGTGTACTAGATATGTCCTTCGTACTAGGTATGTCCAAAATACTCGGGTGTACCAGGTATGTCCTTCGTACTAGGTATGTCCAAAATACTCAGATGTACAAGGTATGTAATTTCCTCCAAACAATGAATAGACTGGAAGTCAGAAAAAAAGTGAATAATGCTGGCAAGGGGTGAAGGGTACATATGCAGCTACAGATATAAGACTTTAGTTACAGGAGTGCCTAGGCACACTCACATATCAGGAAGTGGAATGCCATTATTCCAGACAAAACATATTTTTGGACACTGCTTAGGGACCATTAACATTTTTAAACGTTCCCTATAACATTACAAATTTTCACTTTGTATGTTCAGGTCCACTTTACACCAGCTATATCCATGGCACACCATTCATACAGCACTCCCGAATTTCTAAATGAGAGAGCGCAGTAAATTCTGATTACTTTCAGACTCTCTCTCTCTCTGATTAAAACTTAGTATGCAGCCATCTGAAAATAGAAGGCTGGGTTGGGTGGGAGGAGGAGAAATCATTACTTTGGCTCATTCACTTGTGTGCGAAAACTGGAACTTGAGTTATAGAGCTCTGTAAACAACGTATTTCTTTTTGCATAGCAAAGCAGATGGTAACCTACAAAGGTGAAAGCCTACAGCTCCACCTGCTGCTTGCAAATGAGAATACAAAATATTCATATTGTGTAGGGAGGGTAGTACCTCCTGCTCAAGTTCCTCTATTTTAAGGAAATTTGAATAATTACCTTCAGATGAGATAAGGCTCCAAATTATAATTTATGGCATATACGTATATGGGGAATACAGTGTCCGTCCTTCCTGCATTCTGTCTTGCATAGAGTCCTTCCCTATTTATATAGCACTTCTTATCAAACAGAAACAGATCACCTTTTGGA